GGCGAAATGGCTAAAGAAGGAACATAGTCCTCCTTCGGCAAGTCGTCATCCTCCCCCCTGTCCTCCTCCTCCTCCCCCACCTCCCGCCTATGCCCCCTCTCTGAGCTCCTACTCCTCCGGTCCTCCGACCGGCTCCGCTTACGTTCCCGCCTACGCCGCGCTTGCCGTTCAAGGTCTCGACGCAGCGCCCTTGAAATGGTCTTTACGTGCAAGAAGTTGCAATAGGGCCCGTACGTGCACTGCCCCTCGTCGTACTGGCGGCAGCGCGCCTCTCGAAAGTCCGTCACGGGCGAGAACTCCACCTCCAGGACCCGGCCGGCGTAAAACCGCCCGTTCAAGGCTTGTCGGGCCTCGTCTGCCTCTTCCTCGTCTGCGTACTTGGCGTACACGTTTCCGATCATGTGCTCGCCCAGATTGTCGCAGACGTGCATCCCTTCCACCTCCCCGAACTTTGCCAGCTCCTCGTACACTTCTTCAAAAAAATCTTCAAAGTCATCCAGGCCCGCTTGGTTCGTCGCATCATTCGCACCTTGGGGGGCGGCCCTTTCTCCCCGCGCTGGAGCCGTAAAGAGTGCTGAGGCCGGATTCTTGTACATATGCTTCAACAACAAAGTCTGAGAGAAGGGAGGCTTGTTGTGCTTCCGCGAGCACCGCTCTCCGTGCCGACATGCCCCAATTTTGAAGTAAAAGGGGCAATTCACTTTGTCCTCTTCCGTGCCATGAATCCGGGCCAAATGCTCTGCCCCCCCCTTGGAATTTCCTAGGTGGCGGTCGCGCCAATTGCGCCCGCCATCCTCGCGAGGGCCTAGGTTTGTGGGCGATTTAGGAGCAAAATCCGATGAGGAAACTACATATGATGGAGGAGCATGGCGCCTTTCGGCAGATTTTTCGATTTTACGACTCATTTCGTCCGGACAAACATCTACACATCGCACACCCCATATGATTCCTCCACCCGCCTACAGAACTTACCGCGTCGATCATTGCGTCTGTCTCCACCTCGACGGTCTTCATAGTAGCCTCCTCGGTCACCACGATCACGTCCACCTCGGTACCCGCGATCACGACCATAATCGTCGCCGCTCCCTCCGCGCCCGTAGTAGCTCATGCTTTTAGCTTGTGAGTGACCTTTGTGGATATGGTATGCCCGATAATCACAGGTAAAATTTGCGTGAGACGCGCGCGTGTGAGGGCTCCGGGAAGACAACGGCTGAGGTATCCATACAGTAGACCAGGCGATAAATTTGACAGGTGTGAAGAAGAGGTTGGCAAGAAAAGTTTTAGTACGAAAAGAGGACACGTCAGCTTGCGACACGAGGACACACTCGTGGGAGATCTAGAAATGATTGAGCACTTCCTTCCCTCTCCGCTTGTCAAGTTCTCTGAATGACAGCCCTCTTCTGCCTTCGGCTGTACTTCGTCGGTGCTGACGATGACGATGGGGCTGTGATGGTTTAGGTACCTCCCGCGTCGTAAAAAAGACGACGCAAAACAAAGCCAAACAAACCACTCCTTCTTTTATATAATCGATTATATCACGTACAATTTAACCACCCGGACAGGAGCAATCAATCACTGCGCTCGTGTTGGCGCTGTTATCTTCAATATAAGGCGCTCGGCAGTTCTCACGCGCCCTGCGTACCCTCCACCCAGCTTTGCGGTTATGCGCCCTTTTCTCGAAATAGTGGTACGCCTCGTCCCCGCATGCATGGTCGTAGGGGCAAGCATGGAACTGTTCATGCTTAATACTGGCTTTTGTAAGTGATTTTGCCGGACACTTTCCCTCAACCTCCCCGCGCCCCACCATTTTCTCAGCCCTGACGTGCTAAGTCCCCACCTCATCCCGACTGCCATTGCCCCTCAAAAAAGTAATCCTGTACATTTAAATCTAGTCCCAATTATTACCACTACGCACGGAGTAACTCGCATGAACGTCGACCTCATTCCCCGCCTCGAACCCCTTTTCTCCCTGGACAACAGATGATGTGGCCTTGCGGAAAGAGGCCGAACGCCGGGTTGAGCAAGCACGCGAGCGAGAAGAGTTGAGTCGAAAGATGGAAAGCACCAAGCGTAGGCAGCTTGAATGAGGTTGTGAAGAGTGAAGGGTTTGCTCTTTTAGAGGCGTGTACAAAAATAATGTACTTACCTGTCTTGCACGCAAGTACCTGCAAAAAATGGGAAAGTAAATATACATACAGACACCCTATGATTTTTCTTTTCAACTGTCAAACAAATTTATTGAAGCATTTTTGCTTGCCGTTCCGACCACTCATACTCCACTACTGTGTTACAGGGGCTACAAGCCCCCGCTTGAGGCCGCCTGGATCATCACTTATGTACTCATTTGGTTCGATCCGTCGCATTCCCAGTCCAAAACTAACGTATACCGAAAGTGTGTCAACAATCTACTTCCCAATCCAAAACTCAAATTCAAAGTCACTCGCGCTCGAACCCTCCTGGTTTCCTTTTTCCCGCAGCCTCTCAAAACAAGCCCGCCTGCTTCTTCAAAGCCACCTGCTTCCATTTCGGTAACGCGTAGAACTCCACTTTACTTCTCCCTTTAAAAGTGGCTGCAAACTCTTCATCAGAGAGCATGGCTTCCCGCCTTGTGGGATCGCCCGCCGCCTCCTGAGGGGTAGGGACTATTGTCACGGTGGCAGCCGACGGCGTAGAGGGCGGCGAAGAGGCAGGAGGGTTCGAGGACACGGGGAGCGCAGGCGGAGGAGGGCCTGGAGCAACCGAGGCATGCGAAGTCGTTGCGGAGGACAGAGAGAAGAACTGACAGGGGGCAGCTTTGTCGGCTTGACTCTGCGTCTCCGAGTTGTGCGAGGCTCCTTCTAGGACCACGGCGGTCGGGGCGGTCAAGGAGGTAGGACGGTCCATGTCGTAAGGGCTTGCCTCTGAGGCCTCGTCTGGCACCAGCATGGCAGTGGCGGCTGCCACAGGCTTATCCACACTCTCCACGACGTTTTTGTCTATTTCGTTCTCCCACTCCTCCACCATGGCTGCCACGGCCTCCACCGCCCCATGGGCCTCTACCCTTTCCGCCAGCACCCGCGCCAACCTTTCCTCATACGCGTCCCCACGCGCCAACGTCGCCGCCCTTGTCACGTCCCAGTCCGCGAAGTGCTGTGTGAACAGGGACGGTTCGCAGCCGGCGCTCACTCGCACCAGGGGGGTGCCAGGGTCCCGCCCGTCCATCGCCTGATCGAGATAATCTTGGCCCATTTTCCAGGCTTCCTTCCTCTCCTTCTCCTGCGCCTGATCGCCCACCCACACAAAGACGTGCCGGTACGTGTCCAAAAGGCAAAACTTTGACCCATCCAAGTCAGCCTGCACGAAGCCCGCCATCTCCTCCATCCGCGAGCTCCCTGTGGCGTCGCCAAGGGCGAACAGGCGAGGCTCGCGAGGCACCTGCGCCTCACCGGCTTGCCGCTTCGGATAAGTGGCTAATCCACCCATACTCGTCCAGAACTCATCGGGCTCCTCCCCCTCTTCCACCGCGACCATCTCCACCGCCCCTTCGCCCGCGCCCCCTCCCGGCTCCTGTTGCTCCTGCCAACGATAGAGCACATCGCCAAGGTGCATGGCTGCGTCTCGCTCTGCGGGAGTGGCCCCAGTGCCCCACCACACAAACAGCAAGTTGTCGCCCGGTTCGGAGAGGATGAAGCAATTCTCCGAATTCAGGCTCTGGGCGGTGACTGGGACCTCCACCGCACAGGAATCCTCAGGCGCCAGCCCCTTGGCGCGAAACAAGGCGGGAATGCGCGCGGCCCTCAGGCTCGCGTCGGACTCCCGCTTCTTATCATGGCCGCATCCACCCCCAACACCCCCCGCGAAGAGGACCAGGCGGCCTTGGAACAGGCGCCGGAAATGGGCCGGCTCGTGTCCTTGCAGGACCCGGACCCCCACCGACCGGCTCCCTCCGTCCTCCTCGGTCTCCTCTCCCAGCAGGGCCCACGCCTCTTCCTCGTCCACCTTCGACGCCACCCCTTGCCACAAGTACAGGCTATGTGCCTCCGTCTCTGTGTCTCCCCGGGAGCAGGAGTGGAGGACCAGGTAGGAGCTCCCGCCCTCGAACAGCCCGTGCTCCTCCAGGGGGACCTCCACCTTGTGCGTTTTCTCGATGCGCCATATCCTCAGGGTACCTGGCCCGTCGCCTTCCTCCGTCAGCGGTCTTTCCTCCTGGCGGAGGCGCTTGGCGAGCGTGTTCCTGGTCTCGTCCTGCTCTTCCCCCTCCTGGGACGGGGCTCCGTCGGCCCCGCCGCCCTCACCCGTATACCTCGCGATCGCATCAAATTTCAAGGCATAGGGGGCGTCCCACTCGGCGAAATGGCTAAAGAAGGAACATAAGAAAGGAAAATTCAAGGAAATCAGGAAATGATGTTGGAGGGATTAGCGCAGGCAAAATCATCGAGGCATGACACTCCTCGTCCCAAAACACAACGTCCTGGCATGACATACACGTACCTGATAAAGGCGGCCGTCTCGCTCCCCTCCATGACGCGAACCACCGGCACCTCCATCGCAGAGCGGTGCGTCTTTTCGACGAAGCTAACTGCCAGGGCCAGGCCCTCTCTTTTCTCCGTCTCGGTCGCCGCCTTTCCCACCCAGGCCCAGACGCAGTGGGATGCCCCAGCGTCCAGCACAAAGACAGCCTCGCTCGCCAACATAGAGCGTTTGAGGCCTTTGTGCGTCGCTGAGATTGGGGTCACCGTCAGATCCCCCGTGGGCCCGGACGTGATCCGGGCGAGCACGACTTCCCTCGCCTCGTTTGATGCGTGGGATCCCCAGGAAACAGTTACTGGTGCCCTGTCCCCCCCCAATGCGTCCCAAAAGCTCGCACAAGTTCCTTCATCTTCCTTGTCAAGTTCGTTCACAGCCAAAATGTCAGCCTGGCCTCCACGTTCCGCGTCTTTTATGCGCATTGCCAGCTCTAAAGCTTTGGCCTTCTCGAAACAATTGGCGCCGGGCCCGTTCCAGAGGAAAAGTTTCAGACCTGTGTCGAGGAGAAAGCAGCCCCCTGCGTTCAGACTACTGCGTTGTTTTGGAACCTCCGTCGCACGGACGACCCCCAGGCCTTCGACTTGCAGCAAGCGGCTCAGCATGCCGTCACGTTCCACCGGAGCGAATCCATCCGCACCCGCTAGGTACCTTAGGCCCCCAAAATCTTTAAAATACGACAAAAATAAAGCAGACTCGTGTCCCCCAATTTCTCGGTAATGTACTTGCGCTCCACCCACAGCATCGTCCAGTTCGACAGTTTTTCTGGCCGCCGCTGCCACTTCGTTCTGACTGGCCTCGCTACCCCACCAAATATGGATAGCACGCTCAAAAGTTGTGTCCCCGGTTTTCTTAAAAGTGCTTAACAATATGTAAGCATTACCTTTGTGGAAATGACCATTTATGATAGTCTGTTTTACGGGCGTAAGGTCCTGAATGCGCCACAATTCAAGCCCCGGCATATGGCCCACATCTCGGAACGCGGGCTCCATCGTAATGGCACTGCTATGCGTACAAGATGGAAAGATTAATAAGAGGCTGCAGCAATGTCATCATTTATAAAATGAACGTTGTGCACTATCAAATGGACGTCATGCACGGGGCGAGAAAGGACGCAGCCCACAGTTTTAGTAGTAAATAACGCACGTCCTTGCTTGCTTCAACTCCGAGTCGTCGGACGCTTTTCAGCCGGTAGCCGGAGAAGCAGCACCCCAGAGGAGGTCGGAATGCTGACATAATCACCCATCACGTACGTAGAACAGGGCACGCAGGCCATGGGTAAGGTTGTAAGGGACCTTTACTATCGGAAGGCGAAGGAGGTCGGCTTTCGGGCCCGCAGCGCGTTCAAACTCCTGCAGCTGGATGAGGAGTTCGGTCTTTTCAGGAATGTACAGAAGGCCGTCGATCTGTGTGCCGCACCCGGGAGTTGGAGTCAAGTTTTAGCCACGCGTTTATATCCTGACGGTGCCTTCACTGATGACAAAGGAGGTGAAAGAGAGCGAGTGATTGCTGTGGATCTGCAAGAAATGGCGCCGATCCCAGGTGTGCGTCAATTGCAGGGAGACATTACGTCTCAGGTGAGAGGCTAGTTGCTAGTTGGAGGGGGGAAGATCTTGAGCTTTTCTATGAATACACTCCTGGGATGTTTCGACGCATCCACACTGTGTTGTGTTCACACTATTTTTTTGTATGTGTGCTTACTGTTATTACGGATTAATTGATCCCTCTGCAGGCCACAGCCGACACAATCATCGGGCACTTTGAGGGGCAAAGGGTCGATTTAGTTGTCTGCGACGGTGCCCCTGACGTGACGGGTTTGCACGATATGGATGAATTTTTACAAGCCCAGCTAATATTCGGAGCGCTTGCCATTACGACGCACGTCCTTGCATCGGGGGGGAAGTTCGTCGCGAAGGTCTTCCGGGGCCGCGACTTGACCTTGTTGGCGGCTCAGCTGCGTCTCTTCTTTGAAAGCATAACGGTTGCCAAGCCAGCGAGTAGTCGTGTCAACTCTAGTGAATGTTTTGTCGTGTGCGAGGGGTTCCAGGGGCCTATACCTGCGCATGGTTACATCCCTGAGATGGTCACTCCCACATTGGGACAAGGCAGTCGAGACCAGGCGGCTCAGACGGAGAAGGATGTGCAAAGGGACGAAGAGGAAGATTCTGGGAAGGATCGAGCACTGAACATTGCGGTCAGGTGTTACGTGGAACAGGGGGACTTGTCCGGTTTCCCAATGCCTGGTATACCGGCTGATGTGTCTAAAGATAGATAGATGCGCATTAAAAAGGAATACACTTGGTGTATACACGCGCAAACGGCTGCCCTTTTGGGCAGAGAGAGTAGATGCCCATTACTTCATGGTCTTCTGGGTCCAGCAAAGGGGCAACTTCTCTGTCCCCCTAGCTTTTTCCTCTTTTCATCATCTACATTAACTGTGAAGATAGCTCTAGAAATCGACCCAACGCCGCAAGCTGTGTAAATATCCTGTCAACATAGAAGTGCAGGACTTCAGGGAAAATACTTTAATAGTAGAGAGCATGCCGGCTGATCTCTGGCCGGGGCTTGTGAGCTTACGGTAGGAGTCGCCTATTAATCAATCTCCTGTCCTTGACTATCGCACGAATAAGGCGATTGCAACCTGTTGTGTCTTCTCTTTTCATACTATATTGAATGACAACCATACAAACAAGGATCAAGCTTGAAACGAACAAAGCTGGCTTGCTATTGCCGGGCACAGACCTCCTGGGTCGACATGGAAGGACATGCATGGGCCGCGTATTTGTTTGCCATACGTCACGTATGAGAACTGCTTGTCTGCTGGAAGCACCAGCTATGACAAGGGGCGTTTGATTAACTTCGGAACTATCAGTAGAGTCGTTCCTTGGTCAATAGTGGGTTTTACAAACCAATTGCTTTTAGTGGAAGCAAATACGAGATTTTAAGCGTTGGCGGTTAAGTTTCGGCCCATGTTGCTGTCAAAGATATAAGTTGAACCCCATTTCTCCAAGACGCAAATTGAAAAATGGTCCCATCCATTATTCTACAGGGAAATACAAGCTGCATAGTACTTTACGCTGATGGTGGGAAAGAGATCATGTCTTCTCCTTCTTTAAGCTGCTCCAGAAAGATTCCATCCTGCACAGGTGTCGGCACACACCCCACGCTCCCCTCTATACGTGGTCGGATCACCGCCTTGAAGACACGCCAGCCACGTGTCATGCCTCCAGAGACATTTTTTCCGATGGGGTACCATCACACAGGGCCGATGCACCGAAGTTTTGCTCGTGGACCTTTAAATGGGGCGGGTGAAATGTGTGACGCCAGCGACCGCCCACTCCTCTGCTTGAGCTTATCAAAAGACGAAGAGGAATTGGTGGTAGGAAGTGCGGACCATGCCCTGTATGCATATAATCTCAAAACATGCAAGCCTACGCGTAAGCTGTACTCTAAGGCTCATGGGCACATCGATTGGGTCACCTGCGTGGTGCATATGGACAATGGCCAAGTGCTGTCCGGCGGGGGTGACGGGAAAATATGCGTGTGGCCTCCTTCTCGCTTGTCGCCTTCATCTTTTCCGCTGAAACATAATGAGGACGGCGCCTATAAGCGACCGGCTTGCCCAAATAGGCTCACCCATTGTCAGGATTTGGACGGACACGCGAGTTCAGTCAGTAAAATATTGCCAGTGCCGGAATCGGACATGGCTTTCTCCGGGAGTTATGACGGCTTGATCAAGTTGTGGAATCTAACCTCCAAGCAAGCCTTAACATTCGATGCGGAAGGTAGGTCTACTAAAAGCAATTGGAGCTTTGGTAAAAATGAGATCGCCAGTGACCACAGCCTGAGTAGATGTGGGACCTTGGATCCCGTTCTCGACTTCGCCTTTGACACTGAACAGAAGCAGCTGATGAGCGGCACGCGGAAGGGAAATTGTAAGGTATGGGATTTGCATACAGCCAAGCAAATTGGGACTGTGAGAGCTGCCCACCGCGGTCCTGTAACGTGCCTGACCCGGTGGTCGGCCTCGATAATGGTCACGGGGGGACAGGACGGCGTGGTCAAGGTCTGGGATACGCGGCGGGGGATGCCTCTGGTCACACAAGCTGTCTGCTGCCACGTCAATCCTGTGCAAGGCACTGCAAGCGCAGTGTCGTGCTTGGAAAAGACGGGTGGTCTGTTGGCGACGGGCGGGGCCGACAAGCGTGTGTGCCTTTTGGATCCTCGAAGAAATTTCCAGACCCTTCATGTCTTTGATCATCATCAGGCTCCAATTTATACCTTAAGATACGCAATTTCGGCGGAAAGTCCCGTTCTATTCAGCGGCGCAGGCGACGGGACCGTCCACTGTGTGAATTTGCTTTCGAATGCTATGCTCTACGGTCTGCATCCGACAAGGGGGCCTGTCCGGGCTCTGGCCACTACAACCCACCTGCAGGCAGACAAAAAGCTCGTGGCGGCCGGGGAGGACGGTAAGGTTGTGATATTTAGATTCTAATCCATTTCTATCTAGGTACTGGTAAAGGAAGAATTGCACTTGTGCAGATTAATTTTGTGCAGGAAACGCAGAAATTTTGTGGAAAATTACAGCACGATGACTACAAGTGTGAATACCTCAGCATGTAAATATATAGAGAATTCACCACTCATGCCTCTGGAGACATTACAACATTGACAATCAATGATGCATAATGTATTTGCTTTTGCTTTTGCTTTTGTAGTATGGTACACGTACTTTCCTCCAACAGCCTACCCAAAGTGCCGGGTAACCCACTCTCGTCTTATATTTTCATGTCCACGACAAATATACATCAATTTCTACCGATTTACCTTCCAAATTTATCGTCTATCCCCGGTTTTCAGCTTTTGACATTGCTGTGTCAGCTGTGTCAAAAACGCGTGTCTCCCGGACCATCTCCGCAAAAACCGAACCGCTAGTCGCCAAGAGATGTTGAGGAGAACCTTGTTCGATACACTTGCCGTCAGCAAAGACTAAGATGAGGTCGGATTCGATCACGGTATTTATCCGATGCGCGATAGTCACGAGTGTGCAGTCTCTAAATGCAGGAGCTGTTCGCAGTGTGTTCTGAATGCGTTGGTCCTCAACAAAACTGACGCTGGCTGTCGCCTCATCCATGAGCAACACTTTCCGCCGAAGCAAGACAGCGCGTGCGAGAGAAAGCAATTGCCGCGTCCCTGTGGATAAATTTCCCCCTCCTTCCCCCACGGGCATGTCCAAGTCCAGAGACAGGTTAACGTCCCTCAATGCCGCGTGCAGCTCGGCATCACCGTGCCGCATGAACGGATCGAGATTAAAGCGCAAAGTACCGGCGAAGAGATCTGGTTGCTGAGGGATCCACGCCACAGATCGACGCGCGTCGTGGCGGGAAAGGTGAAGGATACTCACTCCGTCTAGCACGACGTCGCCGCCCACGATTTGGTTCAGGCGCAGCAATGCGGACAAGAAGGAACTTTTCCCCGACCCAGTACGACCGACAATGCCCACCTTCTGGCCACCGCGAATGTGGATATCCACCCCATTGAGGACTATAGGCAGGTCTTCTCGGTAGCGGACTTGGAGATTTTTAACAAGAAGTTCGCCGCAATGAGGCCAATTGGGAGACAATTGCCCGAAGGTCTTCTCTTTTCTGGTGACCAAACGTGTCTTCATTTCTTTGTCTTCGTCTTCCTCCGACGACAAGCGCGTGTAGTAATTCAGTCGTTCCACAGATGTCAGCAGCGTTTCAGCTTGAGCACTCTGTCGGATGGCCCATTGGAACGTCCCCGACAGCACCAAGGCGTACGTGAGGGATAAGCCCAGGAGCCCGGGATCTAGGGTCGCATGGAGAGCGACGGCCAAGACGCAGAGGAATGTCAGGAAGGTTGCGCACAACATGTCCAGTCGAAAACCCAAATAACGAGATAGAATGATGAAGAGAAAGGCACACTTCCCGTTCTCATCCAAGCGCCTCAGGAAGCGTTCTTCCATCATACTCTCTGCTCGAAAAGCTCGGATCACCTTCCCTCCCTGCAAAGATGACGAAACTTCCGCGTACAGAGGGCTTCGAGTGATGGCATCCAGGCGCTTAACCTCCCGGGCCGTCGTTACAAATTGCCGTCGGTACTTACTAAAGAGATACAGGAGTGGGGCGACAATCAGGGGTAGATATGGCACTGCGATGCACCCCACTACCACCGCCGCCACGCACAAGCCCGCCGATTGCAAGAAGTCGAAGAGAGTGTACGGCAACAAATCATCCGCGGAGTCCAGGTCTTTAGAAAATTTGTTCAGTATTCGTCCTCGAGGGTTCGAATGAAAGAAAGCGAGTGGCGCCGCCAGTACCGCTTGCAGGGCCTTGTCGTGAAGGGAAGTGCTCGCGCGCAAGGCAAAGCGGAAGAAAAGATCAGCCCGCAGCAAACCCAGTACCACGCACACTGCAATTATGTAGGCGTATGTACGCGGGTAATAAGCACCAGTCCGGGCATGATCCTGATCTGAAGCCCACATCTTGAGCCAAAAGTCCGCGAAGGTAAGGACACCCTGACTGATCAAGAGCAGTAGCATAATCCATACACCGGAAGCCAATCCCCCGCTGCGCAAATAACTCGCATAAGTGTCTCCATGGACCTCGCCCAAGATACGGTCCTCGGCCGCAATAAAAGCGGCGGTCTCGCGGCCCGTGGCTTGACCGACAGCGGGCGTTTGGGCGAGGAAACCAGAAGGACGGAGCGCCTCGCTGCCGTCAGGGGAACTAACGTCCATGTCTGCGTCCTTCGGCCCTCCCTCTCCTTCCTCCGCCTCCTCTGCCTCATCACAAACCTCTCCTTCATCTCTTCCCCCATTCGTGGTCTCCCAGTCCGCCCCTGTTACCGTGGCTCTTTCCGGCAAATCCTGCACCAAGGCCCTCCAGCCCGACACCGAGGTCCGTATTTCTTCCCAGGGCGCACACGGCGCCACCATTTGGCCCTGAGCATCCAAGAGGCATACCCGGGTCGCCAACGGAAGGTATTGGACCTGATGTGTTACCAGCACCACCCCCTTTCCAGCCTTGACCAAGGTGTCCAAGATGCATGCGTGGAAGAGGTGCTTGGAGACTCGAGGGTCCACGGCGGAGAGCACGTCATCCAGCAGAACCAAGTCGGGATCCGCATACACGGCCCGCGCCAGCGCCACGCGGGCCCGCTGCCCTCCGCTCAAGTTCACCCCGAGCTCGCCGATTTCTGTCAGGTCTCCGTAAGGTAGGTGCGCCAAATCGTGGTCGAGGGCACATGCCTGCAGAATATTTGAGTATCGAGCCTCATCCACCAGCCGGGCTGACGAGTCATTGCTGCGGATGCACCCATCTTCCTCAGGCAAGAGCGGGGTCGAGACACCCAGATTCCCCGGGGGGGCTGCCGTTTCCTGTTGCCGCTGGGGCACGCCCGCAAATGTGATATTCTCGCGGATGGAGCCTGCTTGAATCCACGGTTGCTGCGAGCAGTAGGCCATCCGGAGGTCCGATCGCAAACGCACTCCGCTCCCGTACACGCAAGTTACCTCCCCCAATATGGCATCCAGGAGGGTGGATTTCCCGCTTCTGACTGGACCTGTGACGATCAGCAATTCTCCACGTCTCACATGCATGCTGAGATGTTTCAGACTGAGCTGGAACTCGGCACGGGCCTGCCAGTCGATCCCCTGCCCCTTGACATTTCCTGTCGCCCAACTGAAGCCACTGTCTTCGATCTCGACGAGTATATCTCCTCTATTTCCGACCGATGGCTGCGTCGGGGGCGCCGTAAGAGTCGGAAGCGGGGGGATCGAGGGAGGCAACGCAGGAGGGGGAGGGAGGAGGCGTGCGCCCAGCTCTTTGCCGTGAGGGTCGCGGCTGCCCAGTAACAAGGACGACTTGTTGCTTGAAACTTCGGCAAAAGCTCTTGTCGCGGATGGTCTCCGGCCCCACTGAGCCTTCCTTCCCTTGGCGCCGCCACCTTCCTTTTTGCCCCCGCTACTGCCTGCCTCCGTGCAATTCTGTGTGCTCGACCCCGCTTCAGCCATCAAAAGCAAGGGTAGAATACGCCGACTGGCCACCAGGGCCTCTGAAACCTGCTCGATGCTCCGAGGTACCCAGCGTGCGCACTCCCTCAACGTCTGCAGCAGCGTCATCACCGCGAAGACCGTCGGGAGCTCCAGGTGGTTTCCCAACGCCCAATAGGTCAAAAACGTCACGAAGGCCGCCAAGGAGGGGGCCACGAAAAGAGGCCCAGTGTGATCGCCCGCATCCTGGCGGCCCAGGCTAGGGATTCCCGCTCCGAGGCCCGGACCTGGGAGATGGTGGCGAGGAAGGGCGCCTCCCACACAAAGGCCTTGACGGTCTGGATCCCAGAGAGCACCTCGGCCATCAGCTTCACGCGCTTGTCCGTGCGGCCCGCCGTGACGCGACGGGCGTGGCCCACTTGCCTCCCGCACCAAACTTGGAGGGGGATCACGCCCACGGTGGCAACGCAGCCGACCGCGGCGGACACCACCCCTACATACATGACCAAGAGCCCAAAGCCAGCCAGTGCCATGAGCGGCGCCACCCACACAAAGTGCAGGCTCGTCGCACATTCTTCGTACCGTTGACAGTCGTTCGCGAGGGTCGAGACGATTTGGCCTGTGCTCGCCGTGGATTGCCACCGGCTGTCCAGAGAAAGGACTTTTTTGTACAGGAGGGCCTGCACTGCCGTGCGCAAGCGCCACCCCGTGCGAATCGTCAAATAAAATGCGCGGTGGTGGACCAGGGTTTGCATGAAGTCTAGTCCTGCAAGTGCTAGGGCAACGCCAAAACCATAGCCCCAATGCAAGTACACACCCACGTCCGCTTCGGTATATGTTGTGCCCTTCAGCCAAGCGAGCAAGTAGCGCAAGACGACAGGCTTGGTCAACATGATAGCGTATTCTGTGAAAAGTAGCGCACCGCAGAGGTAGAAAACCCTACGATGAGTGCGATATAATGCTCTATTGAGACTTGGATATTTGTAGGCACGCATTTCCATATCCCATTCCCCCTCCAGACACGTCAAAAGGCGGGCGGCCCGGTCTCGTTTGGCAACGGGGAGGAGGTCTACTTGTTGCAAAGGCTTGTAAGTCCCGCATCGTACTATGGGAAATACAAACGTGAAAGTCAACAGCTGCCATGGAGTCAAACGCTCGTAAAGGTCCACAGGTGGTGATGGCGGCGGCGGCGGCGCTGGAGGAGGGGTCAGAGCAGCATCAGCCTCTGCTTGCGGCATAGCTGTGGGATGACACAAGGAATGTAAGTACAACTTGTGATTAAAGCGGTCACTACCCATCCTGAGTAGCATTCGCCATACATTATTATTGTTTAAAAGACCACTCAGAATACACCCGGGTGGGAAAAAAAGGCAGACGGCATGTCCGGGTTGCAGATCATCGACTGCTAGCAAGGTCTCAGGAAGCGGGGGCGTTGAGGGTGTGGGGAGGTTAAACCTAGCAACAAAATCTGCCAACTAATTGACGATTGCGGAGTCCAAGAGGCCTCGTTGTCAGAAACTATGCCATCTTCTTCGGTTAATGGCAGAAACTGCGTCTCGATAAAATACGAGCAATATGAGGGGAATCCGTGCAATTTTGTCGTACGAATAGTGAAGTCCCTTTGGTTTACACCCCTACACCTTTCGAACCTGGAATGCTAATGGTGTTATCCCTAGCCTTGGAAACGACTGCCCTGAGCTCTGTTAGGGTTAGGGTTAGGGTTACGTACGATGGTATGGGAGAACAACAACTTTATGGTGCAATTTGCCAGCCATCATAGGGCGAACTTGCATTGACAGCGCTCGGTGGACTCCTGCAGGAAGCCTGACGGGATGAATGATTCCCGCTTGGTATGTGATTCATTGGCGGGTTTTGAAGGCTATCGTATTCACTAGCTAATATTTAGAAAGTAGGCCTACGACCTTATTAGTCCTTGTTGGTCGGGGAGATCGCCCCTGTGCACGTTCGGTCAACTCATTCGGGCACAGGAAAAGACAGGGAGGAGACCATAGAGAGGGTATTGGAGCTGACGGAAAATGGAAAAATGGAGGAGGGTAAGAATATAGGCACAAGGGAGCTTGATAAGGACTGCTTAGGCTGGAAGGGCCAGAGGGGCTCGAGGCCGCTTGAGGGGCCGCTTCAGTAGATGGAGGGTGCCGTCCCCCAGGGCGGGGTGAGATGCCTGGCGACGAGGAGGGAGGACACTGAAGTATTCTAGGACAGAAGAAGAGGATTCGGACATGGATTCAAGACAGCGGGGATGACTGTTCGAGAAGAGAGGGCAATCGCATGGAGGGGCGGCCAGCGCCCGAAGGGTCCTCGGACGGGAGGATACTGGTGTTGACCACGGTCTCCGGCCAAGTAACGTTTGGTAGAGACCGATTGTGCTCATACACGCGAGACCAGAGTAAGCGCCAAGGTAGTTATGACGAAAGACTCTAGCAAGTGATGTGCGACGGGAGAGGCATCCGCTCCCCTGGCCCACTGACGCGAACGCCAAGGAGGGGTTCCTCCGCTCCGGCTCGTCCACGTTTCAAGTGTCGCTCATTGCTTTCCCAGGGTGTGCAGGCACGTTTCAGGACAAGCAGCCATTTATTAGAGGGTCGCTTATTTTTATGTGCAATGGTTGGGTATGTACATTGTCAAACCACACGCACAAGCACGATTCTCGTCCGGCACTCTCACTCAACTCAAGCTTTGGACACTCACACACGTATTTCACTCATCTCCATTTCAGTCACACCACACACATGTAGCTATTGTAACCTCATACAAAATCCTATCTTTACGCGACGGACGCGACGCTGGAGGGACTCCCCTCCGGCTCTTCCTGTGATGGCTTCTCCTCTTTTTCCTCCTCCTCCGCCCCTTCCGTGTCTCTCTCCATTTCTTCCCAACAAATCCTTCCCGGCGTGGGATGACCCTCCTCCCCCGCCCCCTCCGCCTGCGACCGCTCGTTCGAATCGCCATGACCCCGTTTTTTGGGGTCCACACCACGCCGATCGTCATCCTCCGCCCTCTTTGAGCCCCCCTCATCGGCCCGCGTCAACGAATCCTCCTCTCCTTTCCCATCGCCTGCTCTTTCTGCTCCTGTCCCCACCCCGTCGGCCTCTTCGGCTTCGATCACCGCGGCGTAACGCTGTGTGTAGCGTCGCAAGATGAAGATCAGCACCATCAAGAGTGCGAGGCCTACCACCAACAAGCCCAATTCTTGTGCGAATATTCCATGCCTCTTCATCGCTGCACCCCCACCATTGAGGGCCTCCAGAAGATTCTTGGTAGATTCTCCCAAATTCACCCAAATCAACGTGAAGGGGATGGAGGCTACGAACGTGCAGAGGAAGAACACGTGGGTGGGGCAGGGCAAGAAGGCCATGCCATAATTTTTTATGGAAATGGGAATGGGCAGAAAGCGGAGCAGGAAGGTTATTTTCCAAGGGTGGCACTCCATGGCAATAAACATGGCCCGGATCGTGCGCTTCCTCTTGGACATGGGCTTGGACGGCCTGGCCGCCGCAGGAAACCTTGAGTGTCTCAGGCTCGGGGCATCGCCTCCCTCCTGGTCGTTGTTCTCCACCACGCTCTCGTTAGGCTCTTTCCCTCGTGTGGGAGAGTGTGAGGAATGACCCAGGGCATCCCGCAGGGTCGGAGATGCGAAGACCTTGGCGAGGAGAAATGCCAGCATGCATCCCAATTGCTTGCCGACAGTCAGGGTGAGGAGGGCCACAGGGTAGGAGAAGATGGCCCCCCCCAAGAGCTCGATGATGGTGGAAGGCAGACAGAGAATGATCCACAAGGCAGTGATCAAAGCGTAGTAGACGGCAGATTGGGGGGCGTGCGCGCGAATCCACTCGGATCCCTCCAAGACTTGGTCACGATACCGCACGCACAAGTAGCTACCCGCAACCGCGCATATCAGCACAACAGATAACACTAACAGCATAGATCGCAGCCTTCTCAGCGTCTTGTATGCCCGTCTACAAAATCCTTGCCTGGATGATGGGAGCGCTGTTGGACCGACGCTCTGATTACCCTCCTTTTCACCCGCGCCACTCACTGTGTCATTCATTTGGAGGCACACATGCCGGGATGACCGGTCATCATAAAAATTATCAGTTTTCCTTTCATTTTCCTGGGTGATATTCTCACGCGGTGGCAAATTCACGGAGGGGGGTCTAATTGCGGCTGCAGATGCCATCATTTCGATCATGTCTTCCGTAAATCCGATGCTCGACTCATCACGGGATGTCAGAGACTCCGGTGATGGAGCTGATGGTAATGGTGAATTGAGCAGCTCTCCTGCTGATAAACAACTTGGCGTCCCCATTTCCCTGTGACGCGGGTGTTTATTGGAGCACGTGAGCCGATAATGGGATCGAGGCCCTATCAGTCTCGCGCATGGGCGAGGAAATGGGCACCGGGGGAAAAATGACAGAGAAGACAAATACATTATTCCTGTATGCACATCACGATGCGTAAATAGCCATGTTGAGCTGTGTGCTGTCTGTGTTAGGACATCGCGAGCACAGGTAAGCGCATCCACCGAATGTCAAGTGTGCATCTCGGATGCGTCGCGTTGTATCGTCTCAACGGTCGAAAAGAAACGGTTTTGCGTGCCACGGGGGCGGGGGAAATGACCCTCCCGCCCATCCGTCTGTCCCGTAAGCAGGGACTCAGAAAAAACAAGGGCACAGTCGTATAATGTTTGGTGTTTTCTTTATGTTTGCGGCTGCGTGTGTCGTTTTGTTTACGCACACTGCGTGCACTGGTTGGGATTCAGCAACCTCCTCACCCCCTTCGTGTTGAGGCCGCCTCATCTGCCTTCCCGATCAGGCTTGAGGTACAAACTGGCCCACACACCCGATCCAAGCAATGACGTAATCACTCCCAGTGATACAGCGTTTGAGACTTCGAAGCCAAAATATTCAGCTCCGAGTTTCAACCCCACGAGTCCTAGAATCAAGGCGACAGCAGGCTTCAGATAGGGCAAGTCAACCATGGCATTGGCCAGCACGGTGTACAACGAGCGCAGGCCCAAGATTGCGAAAATATTTGATGTGTAGACAATGAAAGGATCCTTAGTCACGCCGAACACGGCCGGGACGGAATCGACAGCAAAGACCACGTCAGATAGCTCGACGCAGATCAGGACGAGGAGGAGCGGAGTCGCTACTCTCCCCTGGCCAGGCACCTCGGTGAAGAAATTGGGGCCGTCGTACGTGTCCACAGTCGTGATCAAGGACCGGGCAAACTTGACGATCTGATTATCTGCCAGATCCTCCTCACCTCCCTCGCCCTCGTCCTCGGCCAGAAGCTTCACGGACGTGAAAATCAAAATGCCAGCAAACGCCAAGAGAACTACCCGAAAGTTTTCGATGGCCTCCACGCCCGCGAAGACCATCACTGCGCGCATCGCCATGGCCCCGAATATACCCCAGCTCAAAACGCGACCTTGGAAGTCCGTGGGGACTTTGAAGTACTCAAACAGTACCACAAACACGAAGAGGTTGTCAACGGAGAGCGACTGCTCCACTAAATAACCAGCATAGTATTCGAGTCCTGAGTCGGCACCCTTCCAAGCCCACACCCCCAGGCCGAACAAGAGGGCAGACCCCACGCTGAGGCCGGTCTTGACGAAGGCATCCCGGTAGGGATGCTCTGGGTGCCAGATCGATCCGTCAAATTCTCCTGCGTTACCGACGGCCTTGATTTTCGGCACCGATTCTGACTCTTGCTTCTTGGGGCCCAATGCGTGGAAGGGAGGCATCGAAGAGGCTCTTCTTCTTCTCGCCGCGTTCCGAGGGGCTGCGACAAGGGGGGCAGAGAAGCTAGGCGTACAAGAGGGGACTAGTAATTGAGGGATTCGAGGCGCTAGCGTGACTCCGGGCTTCGGTAGCACGAATCCCCCTATTCTGTGCGGCATCGTCATGGCGAGGACGAGGACACCCACACGTATGCCCAGGCCCCGCCCTAAATCTTGTCTGCCTCGGTTGTTGCGCCCCAGAGCATGCCAAGACATCCTTTCACAGCCACGGTAGCAAACTCAGTAGTCACGTGTCGCGAATCACCTGCTCGTATCCCCTGTGGATGCACTGTCGGATCAAATAATGCGTGCATGCATGAGGCGTGGATGAGCGATCATGAGGTCAGCAAGGCCGAAACCCTGGGGGCAATTATAGGCGCCACTTTCGTCCCAAAATCCGTGCCCCCAAGCACACAGGACAGCCCAAAAGACAGTCCAAGCACGTGTGGCACATTTGAAAAACGTAGGCTTTCCACAAGCGCCTCATGCGTGTACATCACGGGGAAAGCAGGGCGTGCGGCTGAGTTCGTTGTGTCTGTGGTGATATCGCGGAGGGAGATCGCATGTGACGGCCATGTCATTGCCTCGCCCGGGCGTAGTCCCGGGAACAGAAGCAAAGGGCGGGATAAGAGCTCATGATCACACCACCTCTTCACTCATCGCTTCCTTATTCTGGCCGCAGGGGTCAAGGGAAAAGGGCTGTGACCATATTGCAGGATTACTGCTGCCCCGCCAGGCGGAACTGCGACAGAAGGGAGGGGCCATGTCCTATCATCAACCCCTCTCACGCCGTCGTCTCCTCACGGGGCGCTACACCGACAAGACGTACGGCGGAGACAGCGAAAGCCTTGATGGCAGCCAGTACGACAAGCAACACGCGGCCATTGCGCCAGAGCGTCCACCGTCACGGGCCCAGGATGTTCAGGGAGGAGGTTATCTGGCGCCAGGTTTTCTGTCCGCGCGCCGACAACAGGGATACAAACGTGCGCGTCTCGATACGGCAGTGGCCACGCGGCCCACGCTTGTGGCATCGCCTGTCTTGGCGGAGGAGGAACGTGATTTGGAATGGGAAGCAGCCGTGGCCATGGAGGCGGTCCACCAGGTGCAAGTACTCAGCGACTGCCAAGCTACCCTCTCAGCCCTGCCTGATCGATTGGAAGCTTTGATGAGGCGGCCCACGGCTTTGAAACGGCGTCGCTCATCGCCATCCACTGGTGCAGTACGACGCAAGAGCGGGGATGGATGGTTCAGAGGGGAGGAGGGGCGAGGAGAGGGAGACGTCTTCTCGGACGGGTCAAGGGGCATGGGGGCTGGAAGGGAGGACGCGGTGCCGGGCATGGCACCGACAAGCTCGTTCGAAGTGGTCAGAGCGCACGTGGGCGTCGGGGAGGGGCTGCCTTCAGGATGGGAAAGGGGGGCTTGGGGCGCGAGGCGGGGGCTGCGGGGTGTGCGGGAGGATGTGTTGGGGAAGGGGCTCTTTGAAAGTACCCGATGGGTCGGGGAGGAGGAGGAGCGGCACGTAGGGAGATTAGAGACAGGGAGGAATCGGGTCGAGGACGAAAAGGATGTGGTCCAGGTGCTAAACGAGAGAGAGGGGCATTGGGCACGGGGGCAGGCGAGAGGCATGTTGATAGAGGAGGAGGAGGAGAGGCGGCGGGGGAAGGAGGAAGGAGGGATGGAGGTTGAGGAGGAGGAGGAGGAGGAGGTAGGATTAAATAATGAGGAAGAGTGGAGGGGAGGAGGAGGAGGAGGAGGAGGAGGAGGAGGAGGAGGAAGGGAGGGGGAGGGGAGGAGGAGGAGGAAGGAGT